TTTTGGCATTTTTTATTTTTTTAGAATTTTCTTTTTGCATTTTTACTCCTTGCTTCGAAAATGCACACAACTTGCCTTGCGCTTTGCTTCTTGGGCACAAAATGGCCCTTGTGCTTTTTTTCCACTTTTTGCTTTTAAAACATTGGTCTAGATACGTTTGGACACATCGATACAAAAATGTTTTAAAAACTCTAAAAGGGTTTAAGACATCTTCTGAGACTCTCTTCTTATTATAAAATAAAAAATAAAAAATAAAAAAAAGAGTATTGGCCATATTGTTGTGCACTGAAACCCATATTGTGTATGGGTGTGTATCAATATTTTAATCCTTGATGTTAACTAGTTCATATTCTACCCACACTTCAATACTTGATTTGATGTTGTCTTGACATGTTAGACTAATGGTAAACCTTCTTCAAGTAGGCATACATCTCATAAGCCATTCACATCCTTTTTATGGGTATAGCAATGTGAGACACAATGGGACCCAAAATCTAGGAAAATATTTTTTCATTTTCCAGCTTCCATTGCGAAAAAGCCTTGGTATCCATTTCATTTGTTTGAGTAACCTTCCCATTCAAATAACCTTTTGATCCTTTTCTTTCAACAATGAATTCAAAATGGAATTTCCACATGTTGTAATTAATTGTCAAATTTCACTGGAATAATATCAACCTTCTCAGCCATTGTAGATAATGAATACAATACAAAAACAAGGTGACGGCACTCAAATTGATTTTGTGGAGAAAAATATGGTGATCAACCAGCCAAACTAGATCAAGATACAGTCCAAGCACTAAAGTGAATATCACGACACTGAAACAAAGTGGGTTCCTCAAAGGAAAGCCCTTAACAGCAAAGCCGAAATGATTATGGTGCAAAAAAGGAATTTTGCAGTACTGTTGATCTCAAGAGAGGATCAAAGCCCTTCTAAGAACTGATCAAAACCTTGATCAGACCAAACATGTAATAAGAGAGTGCTAGGCGATGCCAACTTGGGAGTCTTAGGCTGATTGTATCAACTGTTTAGAAAAAATCAAAGAAACACCAACTCTTCAGGCATCTTTTCCAGGAAAGCGTACTTCCTTTGGCTGATCAAAAGAGCCTTCAGACAAACCTCAAATAGAAGTCAATGACAGTCTAAAAGCTCCTCAAACATGAAACAGCCTTTCAACACTCAAGGTTTCAAATATGATCAATAGCTGGTAGAACCAACCTGCTCTGATGCCATGTTATTCTACCAGTTTGAACAAGAGAGAGCACAAAGAGTTAAGGGGTGTTAATAGAATGAATCGATCCCCACCCCAAAGAGCCTTGTACATATTAAAATATGTACAATTACAAGAAAGGCCTTAAATCGCTGAAATGAGGAAAAAGATAAAGGACTAAGAGAAAAATGCTAGATACTACAGGGACTATTATAATAACATACATCCAAACTCTCCACAGTTTATTTAGTGGAACTTTGTTGTTTGAGATCCTATGCACAACAAGCTTTTTAGGTATTCAAGTGGTCCTATTTTTATTGTTTTAATAGTCAATATACCTTTAGTAGTGTGCAAACACCAATAAAAAGGTGATTTAGAAGTTAATAGACCACTACAAAGGTATAAAGCACATAAAATCATATAAAAGAGTGACTAAAAAAAATCAAATTTATAAATGGTGCATGCTTGGCCCGAGTTGCAAGGTTCAAAGTATTGATATGTATAGTATTGGGGGCTTCCCGATATGCCCCTATAGGGGGTGTTTTAGGGTCTTGACCGGTTCAGATGGTGGATGAACCTTAAACCAGCCCCTTTGAATCAGATTCAAAAAAAACTAAAAAAAATTAAAAAAAATCTATCAATACTACCCGATATGCCACTATTGGCGTATTGATATTTTGAACCTTGCCGAGGTGTGAGGATCACCAGATGTGCATCTCGAAAAGGACCGTGCTTGGGTTGAATTGAGGTGCTCAGCTTAAAGTATGCCTCACCTATGTGCCTTTATGTGCCTTAGGTAGACACACTTTTTAAAACATTGCAATTGGTGTTTTGCAATTCTTCCAATTTGAGAAGGTGTGAGGATCACCAAATTTGCAATTCTTCCAATTTCTCATAATGTAATCCACTGAGAATGTTTTGAAGTGTTTCATGGTCTTGATCCAATACACTACCTTTTTTTTTGATCAATAAGACAATTCATTAATTATCACAATAAGAATTGCAAAGAGGAAGGCAAACTTTCTTATCTTCCAATTTCAGCTTGAGCCCCAAGAAAGGAAACAAAAAGAGAAAGAGAAAAAAGAAAAAAGAAATCTAAATTACATTTGTGCCTAGAACATTGAATCCTTGTCCACCCCTTGTTTAGCTAACCCATCAGCAAAAGAATTAGCTGATCTTTTTACCCAACTGATTTTGACTTCCATTTCTCGAACCAACGATCTGAATTTCTTCCTCACATTGCTATAACTCCATAAACCATTATCGTCTTTATTCAGCCACCCTACCACCACCTCCGAGTCCCCTTCAATTATGAGTTTTCTGATATTCATCTCCCTAGCTTTTTGGACTCCTTCCATAACTGCATGGATCTCAGCTCTGGAGAGTCACCCACTCCAATTGGGTCTGAGAACATGGCAGAAACAACCTCATTCACATCCTTGAAAACACCCCCAATTCTTGATTGTCCATGGCCCCCTTTGCTACTTCCATCAAAGTTTAGTTTTATGAAACCCGCAGGTGGGGGAGTCCAAGACACACTCATTATTGCTTTAGTCTGGGAACAACTAGCAAGTTACCCCACTTCCTCAGCATGTCATCCACTGTAAAATCTATGAATAGCTCTAGGGATTTCATCCACTGTACAACCCTTACGCCACTTGAAAAAAGGAGCAAAAAGACTTTGCAAATTTGATGGAGGATTCCAAGTACACCCAAAAAGAGAGAAAGCCCACTCCCAAATAGACTTTGCAAATTGGCAAGATACCAGTAGATGAAAACCAGTCTCCCCATCAGCTTTACAAAGAACACACCAATGAGGGGACAGACAAGTATTAGGCCTCTTCTTTTGGAGCAGATCACCAGTGTTGAATCTTTCCAGAAAGGCTTCATAGCAAAAACTACCAACCTTGGGGGGAATTGGCCTGCACCAAACCTCATTAACAGGGAAGGGGAGGGGGGTTACAGGATTGGACTGGCTTAACACTTTAAAGAAGGAGGCACAGGAGAAGGAGCCAGTAGGGGTGGGGATCCAGATTCTAGACTCTTCCTTAACAGGGTCTAAGAAAACATCATCAAGAAGTTGGAGGAGACTCGAAATACTGTCAAGGTTTGAGTGTCTCGCAGCCCTTCTCAGACCCAAATTCCAACCAAACCTAGAATTGGAAGAGGAAGGAGTAATGGATCTAATACACTACCTTCAATGTATGCTTTTCAGTTACTGTATCCTTTGTGCTATTTTGCTCCTTGAATAGTCTATTGTTTCTTCCTTCCCAAATAGTCCACAGAACAGTTGCTCTTGTGGACCTCCACACATTTTTCCCTCTTTTAGGTAAATCAATTAGTCCTTACCTGAACAGTCCAGCCACATCCAAAAAGAGAAGCAAACTGCTCCCAAATGCAAGACACAAAAGGATAGGAGATTTGTAAATGGAAATGGACCCACCACTTGCATTAGAATGGGTAGAAATGTAGGGAGAGGGGGACCAATGTAATCTTCTCTTTATGAAGCAAATCACAAGTCTTTTTCTTTCCAACTATTCACCAATTGAGGCATGATTACCATCCATTCATAAATTGTAATTGAGTTTCTTTAGTCTTATCATGAGTAAATGGTGATATTATTCTTAAATTAAAGCTCAAGATAATCTTTTTATACCTTTGTTATGCTTTGCTGGTCACACTGGTATTTTAACATTGTCATGGGTTCTCCGTACATGTGTTTAGTTTGTAAAGTTTGAGATACTTCAAGGTGCAGACAACACACGTGAGGAATAGTTTGCTTATGAGCCATGAGTTGTGATTGATGTACAATGAAAATGTATCCATCATGTATGGCAAGCACACACACACACACACACACACACACACACACACACACATATATATATATATATATATATATAGAACAGTAAGTCTCATAGACGTGGATAATTGTTTTAAAAAATATAAAATTTAAAAGAAAAGATCAGAAGTATCAAGTATGTTCATGCTTTACTTACCTCTCAGGCCCAATAAGGATGAATGCAACTTTCACCTACTTTGCACAATGAAACTCCGAATCATTAATATACAAAAAATAGTAGAAAGCAAAAAATAAAGAAAATTGATAAGAAAAATGAGAGAGAAGTGAAAGGAGGGTTCTTGAAGGTAGAAGTAGAAGGAAGAAGAAGATAGAAGACTAAGGGGTGCCAGGACCCAGGAAGGATCCCTAGCTGACCCATCTCATCAGCATTTGTACTTACCATAAACTTGACAAACAAATTTACCCCCAATAGGGCGTCTAACTAGAAACATAATAAATAAAAGAAACAATGGGCCATGGCCCAAGCCCTATAAGTGATAACTTATAACAAATAAAGAATAAACACACATCTGTCAACAAAAGTAGTTACTATATTCTTTGTGGTTGTTTATTTATCAGAAGGGAATCTTGGGACCTTACTGCTTATGCTTTGGAGTAAGATCCCCCTTTCAGCTAGTGTTTTGCACCTTAATTCTTCTTAATATGAAACATCTTTATTATAAAGAATCCTCCTTCCTCTTCTTCCTCCTCATCCTCCTCTTAAGGAGTCTTATGCCTCTTATGTTCTGAAATATGCCTCAGCCTCCAAATAGTGGAATGCCTTTCGTCATGCCTCTGAATGTTAAAACATTGAGATAAAGTTCACTTCACACCTTTGTGTTTTAAAGCATTATTTCTACATATTGTTGTTTTTGGATATGACATGATTAATGATCACATATCAATTTTTTTTTTTTTTTGTGTTCCTGATGGTTTATTGGATCATGCAGATTCTAAGGAAATTGAAGCATGAAAATATAATTGAAATGCTTGACTCATTCGAAAGCCCACAAGAATTTTGTGTTGTTACAGAATTTGCTCAGGTAATTAATTTCTAATATGGGTAATACTTAATTACATGGACAACAATGACACTTTCCTGTATGCAGGGTGAACTCTTTGAGATTCTTGAGGATGATAAGTGCCTTCCAGAAGAACAAGTTCAAGCAATTGCCAAACAGTTGGTATTTTCCTTGCTGAGTCTTTGCTTCCAGTAGAAATATTTGTCCTATCTAATCCTGGTTTAATGTCATGAAAGTTTTTCATATGATACTTGCTTTTATCATTATCCACTAATTGTATGCTTTTTTCCTTAAATTTTTTTGGGTATTTCAGGTGAGGGCATTATATTACTTGCACTCCAATCGTATTATCCATCGGGATATGAAGCCGCAGAATATCCTCATTGGTGCTGGATCCATTGTTAAGGTTGGTTGATCTGGAGAAATACCCTACCTTGCTTTTGTTAAGCTGTCATAAGGTGCATCCAGGCTGCACTATGAACTTTATGATCTTTAGAATATTCCCCCTTTTGGTGCATGCATGATTTTTGAGGCACTTTGAAATGAATTATATATTTCTTTGGTTGAGTATGTGTTTTGCCTTAGGCTAGCTAGTTCACCCTTTACAGAAGCGACTCAGGGTGATCAATCTTATATAATTAATATATGTTTTTTCCTCCTCTCGTTTTTAAACACAACCTCATTCTTATTAACATATGGTCTATGTTTTGGGAATTTTATGTTTAAAAGGTCTCGTGGATTTTTTCCTTATCCTTATTGACTTTGGTTATTTGTATTATTTGGATTCTTTAGTGTTGAAATTTATTTGGGAGTAAACTGGTCTTTATGCTATCATTGCAAAAGGTTATAAATAGTGAAAAGGAGGTTCATGCCTCATATTTTTCTCCTTATCTAAACTTGTGTTATCTTCTTGTTCTCTACTTCTCTAAATTGATACATCTAAGTTCTAATCTAGAAAAGAAACAAACGTGTTTTAGATTAGCCATAATGACCAAATGGTTAGCCTACTATGCATTAATAACGTTTAAGTCATCCATACACTTAACTTTACCCAATGATTCTTAGGAGAATAATTTTGTGAGTTGTTCGCTCACTCACCAAAGCTCCAAAGACCCCATATTTGCTAATGCTGCTCATTTATTCATCCTAATAAAAGATATTTTTAAACAACACTTAAAGTTATAAAACCTTTTTTTGTAGGGATTAAGAATTTAAGACCCTAATATGGATTATGGACTTGTTTGGGCTTGCTTCAGGGGGCTTGGTAAAAGGGCAGCTCGTAGATTCAAGAATGCATAATGTTTATCATCACATTAGCTATTTGATGTAATTCAATTGGTTAAAAATAAAGAGATTAAGAGTTAAAATGCTTGAATATGTTTTATATGTTATGCTTGATTTATCAATAAGAGAATGTTATGCTTGATTTTATTTTAAATATGTTTTACATGTAATGTTTATGTATTTTAATTTGAGATAATATGTTTTTTAAAGAATTTATCTTAAAATTTAAGTTTACATTTTTGCGCCTTGCTTTAAAAAGGCTTGCGCCTTGCCTTGTGCCTTGCGCCTCGGGCGCAAAATTGCCCTTGCGCTTTTTTTTGTGCCTTTCGCTTTTAAAACACTGGTATAGAGCAATGACACACACCACTTGTGAATTAATCTAGTTTAAGCATTTCCCCCAAGAGATAGACATTCCTGTAGGCAAACCCATTTAAGGTATTTTGTGACAAACAAGCTATCATGAGAGGACCAAACATATAGAACTATAGGAGTTGACTGTCATTTTGTGAAAGAAAAAGCTGGAGTGTATTTGCAACAAGCTGATTTGTGCACCAAGAGTTTAAGCCGCAGTAGGATGGATTATATTTGCAACGAGTTGGAGTATTGTCTTAAAAGGCGTGGGAGGCATATGCCTAGAGGTGTGCCTCCAGGCGAGGTGCCCCCAAAATGCCCTGAGGTGTATGCCTAAGTGCAAGAGGTGTACATTTCATACACTTTGTGCATGAGGCGTGCTAGAGGCTTATGCCTCATGTGCCTCGCACATGCCTCACATAAAAAGACAACAAAAGAACAAAAAGAAAGAAAAAAAGAAATAGAGAAAAGAAAGAAAAGGGAATGGAAGGGAAGGAGCAACATCTATTAATGGTAAATATGCTGATAGGGGGCTGGAGCTTGATTTATGACCTTACAATTATTGTGCACTCTTTTTTTTGGTGGCTCCCATGATCACTTCTATCACACCTTCCTCCTTTCATCCACTACCTCGTCCTAAACCAGCATTTTGAGGAGCATGTCTTCGTTCTACACTGAAGAAACTCTTCTGTGTGAAGAAAACACAAAACACCACTAATGATGTAAGATCACTACTTCCTAATCTAACTTCTGTGTCTGTGCACTGATTGGCTCATATTCTGATTGGAATCCATAAAGCGACCTTGCAACATCTAAATGTTTACATTATTGCATGCGGATTCTTAGATCCGCAGAGAGGGGCTGATACACACTCAGCTCTTTCCTGAGATTTTGAAGAATTGAATAGTAATATTCAATACTCTTGTACCTTGTCAAAAAGTAGTCTTGGTTTTATTGATATATTTGAGTGACATTATTCTGGCCATAGTGTGGCCTTTGTACGTGTTTCCAAATTTCTTTTGCTGCTTCAAGAGCCTTGGTGTTATATTAATCTCTGATGCCTTGTTAAATAGCCATGTCACAATCTGTGTGTTTTCTTGCACCCATTAATTATATCCAGGACAACCAACAGTAGATGTAGGATCTATTATGTGTCCTGATTTCCCTTGGGCAGTGAGAAACAATCCAACCGCCTTTGCTCAAGGCACATTATTTTCATTTGAACAGTGAAATAATCTAGGTTCATGACCAGCCCCGTTTCGAAATCACATTAAAATATGCTATGTCTTTACAAGATAAGTCAAAAGATGATTTCCTTTAGATGTGGACTCACTGTACTACAACTCAAAACTAATGCATCCCGTTCCTGTAGCCAAAAACAGTTGAGAACTAGACCCGAAACTTCATGTTACACTATACAGCATACTAAAGTCCTTCCTACTACCAACCTGCACTCACAAACTTATTGATTGACACATCCAGCCTTCATTCTTCACCAAACAAATGGTACTATTATCAGTAATGCTTTAGTCAATCTGATATATGCACCATCACAAACCTTCAATTCTGAGTACCATCACTGTCAACCACCATGCCCCTCTTTGAACCGTCGATTAGAGGGACTAAACAACAACTCACAGTTGATCATAAGTTTAACAACAAAGAAAGCTCATAGATCTTAAACCTCATGATGAAAATGGAGTTTAACTCATTTATGTAGATTGCTTATTTTGCAGCTTTGTGATTTTGGGTTTGCACGAGCGATGTCTACCAATACTGTTGTCTTGCGGTCTATAAAAGGTTAGCAATATGTTTGTACATTTTGCATTTCTTTTTTACTATCTTGAAGGACCGTAATAATGTCTTTATGTTTTCCATTGACTATGATGCTCTTTTATTTTTCATTTTTTTGATATACAACCCAATTTGGTGGTTTTAAATAGCTGAAGCATTCTTGTTGTGCAGTAGATTTCTTTGTTGTTTTAACTGCATTGACTATAGTCCTTTTGCCTTATGATATATTTATATTCTTGAGCACTTTAGTAGGTAGTAATGAGTTGAGCATTTGTTAATCTTTGAAGGGACCCTGCCTTAGGCTTTTGTTCAATGCAGGATTTTAGTTAGAATTGTTCAACTTGGTTACCAAAGTTTGTTGCTTCCTTGCACTTAGGAAATGCCTTTTGGTTCTAACCTGGCAAACTTTGTGCATATGTTTATATGCAGTATGATGCTAACTAGCATAAATCTAGCATTTATTTGTAGGATTACATTTTAGACTTGTACTTTCAGTCCTAAAGCCCTTTGCGATCATATACATACACACAGATGTTTATCTACCTATCTATCTATTTATCTATATATATATATATCCATCCTGCCCCAGACTATCATTTGTTCCTAGCTTCGTGGTTCTTATTTTCTTATTAATTATGCTAGCTTGTTCTGTCTCTGTCTATCAGGAACTCCCTTGTATATGGCCCCAGAGCTGGTCCGTGAACAACCCTACAACCATACTGCTGATTTATGGTCTCTAGGAGTTATTTTGTACGTATCAATATTGCTTTTATCTGTTTTGTCTCCATATACATTATGATTCTAGTTTTTGTTATAGTTAAATCATGACATACCCCAAATGACAAATCATTCCTTTTTTTTTTGTTTTTTCCCCATTGATATGAATTGGTAATTCTTGCTCTTTCCATTTTTTACTCGGTAGATCATGGTGTGTAGCTTTCCTGGATATGCTTTTGTTCTGGACTCTATGCTGTTTTCTATCTAAATTAATTCCGAGCAAAACATTTTGCCACCCAAAATAGTGTTTTCTAATATCTGATTAGTTATGGAAATTCTCCCTTTGTTATGGTGCATTTGGTTAATTAAGCTGAAGTATAGATACCATGTTTTCTTCCCTTTTTTTTCTAGTTGCAAGTTAACTCTTAAGAAGTATGAGTACATGAAATGGGAAAACAAAGATGCGATGGTTTCTGATCCTTATTATTCTCTGAAAAAACTGCAGTTGGCTACTGTTGCTTCTAGGGATAGTGTTCTATGTATTTCATTAATGATTCGTTTGAGTTGTGAACAACCTTTCCATTTTCTTTCCATTCATGCTTCTTTTATGACTTATTATAACCCAGTTGATTTTGTGGCATAACCAGGTATGAACTATTTGTTGGTCAGCCTCCATTTTATACAAATTCAGTATATGCCCTAATCCGACATATCATCAAAGTATGTTATTGCAAACTTGCAATCCCTTTCTTGTATCTTTCTGTCTTGGTACTTCTGTAGAACAAGAAAAAATATCTGCTGTGCTGTTTTACAGGATCCAGTAAAATATCCAGACAACATGAGTCCAAATTTCAAAAGTTTTCTAAAGGGGTTGCTCAATAAGGTTGTTTCATCTTATAGTCCTACTTCTGAGATGAAGCAAAAGCTCTTTGTTTTCCACTTTTTGCTATTTCATTCAGCTTGTAAAAGAGTTCCAAATATCATGGACAACAGGTACCACAGAGTAGACTGACTTGGCCTGCACTTCTTGAGCATCCGTTTGTCAAAGAATCATCAGATGAGGTGGAAGCCAGGGTAAAATCTTCTTAAGTTTTGTATAAATTGCTGTTATCTTTTTCTGGTGTCCCTCTCAAGCCTTAGATTTGTGGAGGTCACCTATATGCTGTAACACGAAGATCCTTCTCCTGTGAGTTGACATTTATGATGAAGATAGTGATTAATTGTCTTGTAAAATTGGTCAGGAACTACGTGCTGCAACTGCTACAGCCAGGGGGTGTGATGCAGCGTGGAGGGGAGAAGGAAGTAATGCACATGTATCAACCACTACACATGTGACGATCAGTAATGAGGGTGAGAACCTTTCTTAGTTTAACAGAACTTTCTTTGTTTCAGATTTGTCAGCTTCATAGGAACTGTTCCAAGATATTTATGTTTCAGGTAAAGGCCATTCTTCTGCTGTTCATGATAATGGCAGGGTTTGTGGTGTTCCCAACGAATGCCAGTCAGATATTCCTAGCTCAGCTGTGGGCAATTATTTACCACATGAATCATCAGGTTTGGTAGGTCCAACTGATGCTGTTCAACCAGGTTAGTTGCTTGATTAGTCGATTTTCTTGTTTTTTTATATCTTCTTGATTATTAAGATCTACTGAAGATCAATATATGAATGAAACAACCTGTATATTAAAATTTCTGCTTTTGATTATGATGAAAATGGTATTAGTGTCAATTTGATGTTGGGATTTTGTATTAGTAATAGTCCGAAAGTTTCATTAAATTTATATGAAATTAATGTATCAAGTGCCTAAGTAATCAGGCAGCCTTGGCTAGAAATCCTAGCGACAAGTCCTCATCTTGGGGAACCAATCCTCAGTGCAATTGATTTCTATTTGCTAACTCTTTTACTAAATTGCTAACCCACCAGCCATATCATTGGTTGATCTCAGAGTCCATCTGCAAACTGTTCTCATCTTCATAGGCAGTTCTAATCTCCCTTGTAAGATGTCTATATTGTCAAGAGCTTGTGTTGTTCCTTTTGAGCTACCCTAGTCCCCACAATCACCTGTGATTCTCCTAAATCTAAGACCCTGAAGTTTATGCTGTGATTCACCCGTGAGTCTCCCTAAATCTAAGACCCCTTTCCCTTCCTTTCCCTACCTTTTCTTTCAAACCAAACACAGCCTTAGAGTTTGCTAGTCTTAACCCATGTTAAATTACAAATAATTCTGCCTGAGTTGAATCACAATGGCCATTGTATCCAGAAAACAAGGCTAATATATTACCTTCATAATTTTGAATACTCCCCCTATTCCTTAGGCTCATGAATTCTCTAAACTGTAATCAGCGAGGTTTATATTGATGACATTAGGGGTATGGGGAACTAGGTTAAGCCTTAGATTTATCCATTGCAAAAATGGCTTTCCCACCACAAACGCAGTGGGTCACTATAGTGTTCTCACCAGAGTTTCAGTAAGCGGAGCTACTGGAACTTTTCTGCATTGGGCGATGTCTATTTTTGAAATCTCCTTGCTGGGTTCTAGGGGTGAGCACTATTCAGTTAAAACCGAAAATTTTGGTTTCGTTTTTTTTTTCGGTTTTTGGTTATTTTGGGTTTTTTTGCTAATTCGGTTTTCGGTTTCAGTTTTTAGAATTAGAATTTTGGTTAACTGAATTAACCGAATTTTTTATTATTATATGTAATATATAATATATAATATGTAACATATAATATATAATATATAATATATAATATATAATATATAATATATAATATATTATATATTATATATTAATATATAATATACTGAAATTTGATTTCATAATATATATTTTATAATTCATAATATGAAATATATGTTACAATATATATAATAAGAGTATATATTATTAAAATTCGGTTTTAACCGAAATAACCAAAAACCGAACCAAAAATTTTGGTTTATTCGGTTCAGTTTTTAACCGAATAAACCAAATGCTCGCCCCTACTGGGTTCTCAACCTTCGTGAACTCATTCATGGCTGAATGTGCATTTGATCAAATCTTCACACTTCTTGGGCTGGTTCAAATTGGGAATCAGAGATCACAGGGATTGGAAGCTGAATGCTCTGTAACAGGTTCAATCAAATTGAAGAGAGAGAAGAGGTGAATTGGAATGGCAGCTGCGTCTTCTCACACTTCTATTATCATTATATAATAGAGTGGTTCAGGTCATGGAGGAGTTTTTAAAACCTTAGATCAAATCCAAATTGATTTGGGAGAGAGATAGGAGAGATAAACTTTCCTAATTTGGTCATAACTGCTTTTAGCAGTTGTGTTCCATCTAGGACTCCTAGAGTAATTCGACACAGCATCAACTTTTCTAGAGGTTTCAGAGTGAGAGGGAGTCTGTAAGATGTGGGACCCACAGGAATTCAGATAAGACCAAAGTTCAAAGGTCTGACCTTAGTTGCAGTTTCTCAGTTTGACTATGAAACTGCATGGCTGAAATAATATGTAATTGTAGATATAATTTTGTATTTGTATATTAATATATTGCAAGGATACCTTCAGCCTCCTACCTATTTTTTTTTTCACCAAAAAAAAAACCTATTTTTSTCTTGATATACTTGTATATTGTAATATTATCATATTATGATGTCCAAATGTGCCAATTTATCAAATATGTAGGTTTATTGTCAAATTACCGGTTAAAAGTGTGGTTGTTAATTATAATTGGGTCTTATTGGTTCAGATTCAATAGTCCTGATTATAGACCCTATAGGGTGTTGTTCTGAACTGGTACTGCACATTTTATTATTCCGTTTGGTTCAGATTTACCCCGGTCTGATCCATTAAAAGAACTATGTGCATGGGTGTGAGTTTAGGTTAACAATATTACATATTAGAAATAATTAAATGTAGTCTGTGGTGTAAATGATTGTATAAATATCTAATATATATGCATATATACATATTATAAATCAATGTTGTCAAATCTTACAAGTTATGATACATTTCAGGTTTTGAATCATGAATCCCAAGGGTTTTGATTCAAATCTCATGTCTGAACCATTTTATATAAAAATCTTGTGATTTTTTGTTTGAATCCTACAATTTGATCCATAAATCTTACAATTTATGCGATTCCTGTGATTCACTATGATTCAAATCAATTAAATTAAGAATCAGTTATCTACTTTGTCATTTTGTGTTTATATTTAGTTTTGTCAATGGTGCCTTGTCTGAAATACCTTGTATGAACTTGATTTATTTATGACCATATATTTGATAGATATGGATTAAAAATAGGGTTGAATCATTGTTCTATGCATATTTAACCTTCTAGCATTTCTATATTTAATTTTTTGACGAGTTTGTAAAAACAGAAATAATCTTATGAGTTATGGTATGATTCATGATTCAATTTGATTCAACTTTATCTATGATTTATGATATGATTACGATTTTCAGAACATTGTTATTTATACACAATTTACACATATATGTAGGTGTGAATATTATAAAATGCTGGTAGGGTTTGGGTGGGATTAAGCTTTGGACTGCTTGAAGCCTCATCCCAAGCAGCCAAGCCCAACCTAAGTTTAGGTCAAGCCCAGCCCAGAGCCTAAAAAGTCAAGACTAAACTGTGCAAAGGCTCCACTTGGGCTGCATCAGTCTATGGTTGTTCACTGGACTTGGAAAACTTTGTCTGCATTGTTTCATAATAAAGGCCTATTTGGAATTTTCGATGTTATCATTACGGGTTCGATTATGATACTAGAAAAACTTGATATCCGAAAAACTTGTGACCAACTAACTGGTATCATAAACATGTTAACCGATGAGGTGGTATTTATAAAATTCATGGGTGGGTTTTCATTGGTGAAAGCTCTTTCGGTATCACGTCTTTACAACATCATAGATTTCCCCTATCATTACTTGTTATTGCTATCAATTTGCTTAGTTATCTTACTTTTACATGTCCTTGGTAATATAGTTACTTAATTGGATTTTTGTGTGGTTTCCAGGTTGCCAAGTGTTGGATAGGTTAGAAAATAATTCTCGTACAGTAAAAGGTGCAAATAGTATTGGCCAAGATAATGAAGCATTAAGAAATATTTTACTGCCCATAAAAACTTGGTCCCAGAGCTCGTCCAACTCTCACAGGTAAGAGGAAAAATTAGTGTCTCCCTTTACATTGTTTTACAATTGCAACATCATTCCATATTTTTACATGACAATCCAAATTTTAGAAGCTGGTAAATGTTAAATAGAACTTAGGTGGCATTTGATTGCTCTGATTAGGTTTGAAATCTGAAGAACTTGGAGTTTGGGTCTTGTTTGTGTTAATGTCTGAACTATACCTCTGAATACTAATAAAAGGTCTGATTTGTAAGTGATGGCTCATGCATGGAATGGTTTTGGATGGCTCATAATGACAAATATGCGCTCCTTTGTTTTTAATATGATAGAGGCTTTAAAAACATATTTTTGGTTTTTTTTTTTAGATTTTTGATGGTTAAGAAGAACATTTTTGCTTTTCAGATTTCAGATTTATCAAATGCAACCTTAGTTTTTGAAATCAAATCTGGAATGAAGAGAAGAGACAAAAGAGAAAGCAAAGAAGACCCTCCTTTTTACCCATTCTCTTATTTTATTAGGGCAACATAACATAATAAAAAATACACTTTTGCCGCATGCAACTAATAGTACATATTACAACACTCTCCTTCAAGTTGGGTTATAATGTAAATCCTTCCCAACTTGTTACACAATTCATTATGACCAAGGACATTCACACCTTTTGTGAATACTGAATACATTAGCTAGTTGTCGATTAGAGCTAAAATATGGGGTACAAACTTCATCATTTTCAATTTTCTCCTTAATGAAATGCTTATTTACCTCAATATGTTTGGTTTGGTCATGCAAACCAAGATTGGCAACTATATTAATAGTTGCTTTATTATCATTGTAAAGTGATATGGGGTGTCAACAACGAATCCTACTCTCTTAGAAGATTCTTAATCCACAACATTTTAGCCACTCCACAGTTCATGTGCCATAGCATGGTACTTAGCCTCTAAACTAGATCTAGTGGTTGCTTTCATGGTTTTTAAAACCAAACCGGACAACAAATCATTTCGGGGTTTGGTTCCTGGGTCCAATGGTCTGATCGTTCGAAACGAATGGATGGCCCGTTCTTACAAAAGAAGTAAAAAATTAAAAAAAAATAAAAAACGACCAAAAAACACTAGGCGATTTGAATGGTTTGAACAGCTCGACCGCCCGGGTTAGTGGCCTGTTGACCAAATCAATAGTTTTTGGCCAAAAAGACGATTCTCGGGTAAAATAGAACCAGTCAGGTGATTGGTTCCTGGTTTCCGGTCCGACCATCCGGTCCAATCTGGTTTTGAAAACCATGGTTGCTTCTTGCTCCTCCACGTTACCATACACAAAAGTACAATATTTAGTAGTGGATCTCCTGTCATCAATTGAATTTGAAATTTATCATAATCGAATTTGTTAAAGGTGAATCCGTGTTGAGTTCTTGTTTGTAGTGACAACTCGAACGATGTGGAGTGAGATTAGCATGTCGTATTTTCAAGACGAAAACACGTCAAAGAGCTTGAGGGGATGACTTGGGCGAGGGGACTTCGATGGTCAAGTCAATATTGAGTTGGCAAAGTGAATGGACGCTAGTAGGTAGAGAATCAAAGCAGAGTAAGTGTGCAGAGAAGTGAACGTACCGTTTAAGGGTGAGGGTAGAGGTGTAAATTGGGTTATGCTGGGCCAACATGGCACAACTCGCCTGTGGCCCGCACAAAGAGTGTCCCGTGCCGTGCTTCCCTCCCTTGGTATAAGTTTGGGGGGGGGGGTGTTGGCCTGGCACGACCCATGGCTTGAGCCTGTGTGGGCCCTTCCCTTTCTGTGGGCCTAGGCCTAATCGGGCCAAAAAGGCCTAGAGTTTTTTTGCTAACTTTCCTTTGGGCTTTGAACAAATTGAAAAAAACAAAAAAATCTAACAAAGAAATGAAAAAAATACTTACCAAAATTCAAAATGGACAACAAATTGGAACAAATAGGATTTTTTTTCATTTAAAATATAAAAAATTACAAATTAAAAATAAAAGTTACATTGTTGAAAAAATAACAAATAATGTAAATAAAATTGAAAAGATTACTCTATCTCCTTGACGTTAATCATCTGCTTCATCAGATGTAGTAGTGTCATGCCCTTCTTTGTATTGTAATTTATCCTCAACATCCAACAAATCTTTAGAGTAGATGTCTTTTTCTTGTTTCTCATGGAAGAGCAAATGCCCGGCCAAGTGGCCAGTACCACCCTTGCTACTGAACCTAAAGTCAGTCCTACATTTTTGGAAAACGACTCTTTTTCCCTTCCCCTTTTTTTTGATCAATAACACTTTCATTAACTCATCAAAAGAAGATTTACAATAGGAAGACAAACACACTTATCTTCCAAGAGCAACAAAGAACCTCAAGA